TCCACAATCTCCAAATCAAACTCTTGAAGTAACAAGACCCATCACATCAGCCAAGCTTTGGAATCCTTCTTCATCATCAAGTACCGGAGTGCGGCATGATCGGTATGAAATATGACCTTGGCACCCATGAGATACGGCCGAAATTTCTCCATTGCGAACACAATAACCAAAAGCTCTTTATTAGTCACCGTGTAGTTCACTTGAGCATCATTCATTGCTTGCTCGCATAGTACACCGTATGAAACATTTTGTTCACTCTTTGACCCAAGACCGCCCCAACTACAACATCACTCGCGTCACACATAAGCTCGAAAGGCAAGCTCCAATTGGGTGTGGTAATAATATGAGTGGTGGTCAACTTGTGCTTGAGAAGTTCAAAAGCTTGCATAAATCCCTCATTGAACATGAACTTGACATCTTTTTCCAATAACTTGCACAAGGGATTCACTACCTTCGAAAAGTCTTTGATAAATCTTCGGTAGAACCCCGCATGCCCAAGAAAACTTCTAACTCCCTTGATAGAAGTTGGGGGAGGGACTCTTGAAATCACATCAATTTTTGCTTTGTCTACCTCTATACCATGCTTTGAAATTTTATGCCCAAGAACTATGCCCTCCTCAACCATGAAGTGGCATTTCTCCCAATTAAGAACAAGATTAGTTTCTTCATAACGGGCCAACACTCTATCAAGATTTTTCAAACATTCATCAAACGAGTCACCCACAACACTGAAGTCGTCCATGAACACCTCCAAAATATCTTCCACCATGTCGGTGAATATGGCCATCATACACTGCTAAAATATAGCTGGTGCATTATACAACCCGAATGGCATCCTAGAAAAGGCAAAGGTACCATATGGACAAGTAAATGTGGTTTTCTCCTTATCTTCCAGAGCAATTAAAATTTGGTTGTACCCAGAATACCCATCCAAGAAACAGTAGAAGGCATGCCCAGCAAGTCGATCTAACATCTGATCAAAAAAAGGCAATGGAAAGTGATCCTTGCCGGTCACTTTATTCAACTTGCGGTAATCCATGCACACCCTCCACCCGGTGACGGTCCTAGTAGGAATCAACTCATTTTGTGCATTGTTATCCACGGTCATACCACCCTTCTTCGGCACACATTGCACCGGCGAAGTCCAAGAGCTATTAGAGATGGGGTACACAACCCCGGCATCCAACCACTTGATCACCTCCTTTTTCACAACTTCTTACATTGCCTCGTTCAACCTCATTTGATGTTCCAAGAAGGGCTTTGCATCATCTTCCAGAATAATCTTGTGCATACAGAATGCGAGGCTTATCCCCCAAATATCAGCTAAGGTCCATCCAATTGCCTTCTTTCTCTTTTGGAGCACCGCCAATGTGACATCAACCTGCATGTTAGTAAGACAAGAGGAAAGAATAACTGGAAAAGTTGAACTAGCGCCTAAGAATTCATACCTAAGGTGTGGAGGCAACGACTTCAACTCCAACACCGGAGGTTCCTCGATTGAAGGCTTTGTTGGTGGGGTCTTCCTATTCTCAAGATCTAAAGAGAGTTTCCGAGGCTCATAAGAGTAAGAGCTCATTCCATGTAAAGCATTCACACACTCCACTCGGCCTTCATCCTCATTTAAATCAAGATTCAACAATACCGCCTCGAGAGGGTCTTCCACATTGATCATTGCACTAGTATCATCGACTATAACTACTGTGACAAGATCCACAAAAAAGCACACTTCAGAACTGTTGGGCTGCTTCATTGACAAGCACACATGAAAGACCACTTTATCATCACCCACTCGGAAGGTGAGTTCCCCTGCTTCCACATCAACTAAGGCCTTTCCAGTAGCAAGGAAAGGTCTCCCCAATATGATCGGAACCTCATAATCTACCTTACAATCTAAGATCACAAAATCAGCCGGCAAGATAAATTTGTCCACCCGGATAAGAACATCATCGATTATTCCCAAAAGTCTCTTCATTGTTCTATCTGTCATTTGCAATCTCATGGAAGTCGGCCTCGGTTACCCAATACCCAAAGTCTTGAAAACTGAGTAGGGCATCAAGTTGATACTTTCCCCCAAATCACATAGAGCCTTAGCAAAGTCTGCACTTCCAATGGTGCAAGGAATGGTGAAAGCGCTTGGATCTTCTAGCTTCGGAGCCATTGAGTGCACTATTGCACTAACTTGATGGGTCATCTTGATAGTTTCACAATCTATGGATCTTTTCTTTGTCACCAAATCTTTCATGAATTTAGCATAACTCGGCATTTGCTCTAGAGCTTCTACCAAAGTAACATTAATAGATAAGCTCTTCATCATATCAATAAACTTCTTAAACTGGTTCTCATTTTTCTGCTTCGCTAGCCTTTGAGGATAAGGTGGATGTGGCCTTGGAAAGGAGCCTTAGCTTTAGGCACAGCCGTTTCCGGCATGTCTATTATATCTTCCCTAGACGGGTTCACGTCATTTTGAGTTTCCACCTTGGCACCTTGGATATCAATCCTCACTTCCTCATTCACATTCTCATCAATCACATTTTCAACCACCAAAGGGATCTCATCCTCTTGCAACTCAACTTCATCACTCAAAAATTCTTTTTGCTTGGAGGCATTCACATCACCGCCTAGTCCACTTCTTGTAGTTACCGCTATTACATGCTCGAAATTATTCCCACCCTTCGGGTTTACTACCGTATCACTTGGTAGATCCCCCTTAGGGCGAGTATTCAAGGATTGTGAGATTTGGCCTAATTGGACCTCCAAGTTTCTAATTGAAGTATTGTGGGAAGCCAACTGGGCATCAGAGTCCGCATTCTTTTTCATCATCTATTCAAACATCATTTCAATTCTCCCCATGTCATTGTTGGAAGAACTAGGACATTGGAATGGAAATGGGGGTGGATTGTTTGATTGTTGATACATTGGGGCCTTTGAAAGTCTTGCCCCCGATTTCCTTGGTTGCCATTGTTCCAACCACCCTGATTGTTGTTTCCACCCGAGTTGTTGTTGTTGTTGCTCCAATTACCCTGATTGTTCTGATTATTGTTCTAGTTGCCCCAGTTTGCGTTTTGGTTGTTGTTCCCCCAATTACTATTCCCGTGTTGTTGATTTCCCCAATTACCTTGGGGTCTCCATTGTTGTCGGTTGGAAGAATTGCCCCTTTGGCCCTGATAATTATTCATATATTGTACTTCTTCATTCTGCCCATCATAACCATCATCTTGGAATCCACCACTATCATTGTCATATTGATCCGAACTCTCTTGGTTTTGTTGACCTCTTTGTCTTCTTTTTTTCACTAACATGTTGACACCCTCCATAGAATTTACCTGTCTTGGATTTTGAACCTGCTGTAAATATGCCTTTGCTAGCTGGTTCATTATTGTTGTCAGCTCTGCTATTGCCTGCCCATGATCATAGAGCTCTTGGTGCAAATGGATGACCTTGGGCTCACCCTGTAGCACATTGGCTCTACTTTGCCAAGCGGAGGACATGCCAGCCATCTCATCAAGAATGTCACAAGCCTCATCATAAGACAGCTTCATGAAATTACCCCCGGCAAGTTGGTTCACTAAGCACTGATTTGTTGTGTTAATGCCCCGGTAGAATGTCTGTTGTATCATTGCCTCAGTCATATCATTGTTGGGACATTCCTTTACTATGGTTCGGTATCTCTCCAATATCTCATACAATGGTTCATTGGGGTCCCGCTTGAAACCTAAGATCTCATCCCTCAATGCTGCCATATGTCCCGGCGAGAAAAACTTAGCAATGAATTTATCCGCCAACTCATCCCAAGTAGTGATGGAATGGTTGGGAAGCCTTTCAAACCAGTCCAAAGCCTTCCCTCTAAGTGAGATTGGGAATAATCTCAACCAAAGTGCATCCTCGGACACATTGGTTTGCTTGCTCCCCCAACAGGTATCCACTAAACCTTTGAGATGTTTGTAAGCATTTTGATGGGGAGCACCCATGAAATACCCTCGTTGCTCCAACAACGTCAGCATCACATTTGTAATTTGAAAATTGCCCACCCCGATCCGGGGTAGGACAATTGCACTAGCATATCCTTGGTTGGGAAGCACTCGAGGAGCTACTCTTGGAGGTGGCGGGGGAGGGTCTGAAATATTATCATTGGCCTGTCAGCCTCTCCTTTGTCCTTGAGGTACTAAAGGAACCTCTGTTGATACCCAATTTTGTCCTACCTTTCTTCTGATTAATTTTCTAGTGCTCCCTAGTCATTAATAATTCCATGCCCTATCTTAATTATTTGTTACCTTTTATTACTATTATTGTTATAGTTATTGAAGTGATTAGTCATTATTATACACANTACTATATTATACACATATTTTTTGGAGTTTCGTAGAGTTTTTGAAAGACATGTTTATTTTTTTATGGTTGCTATTTTAAAATGGTCATAGTTAAAAGATTTTGAATTATCAAGAATAATTTATAGTGGATAGATATTGCAATCAAATCGTGTCAATCGGTTTGTGCAATTAGCACGATGGACTATTTTCAAGTTATTTGCAAATACGTGATTTTAATTTTAATCCATACACCTATACTACTTCTCTAAGTCTTCGAATTCCCTTAAAGGAAGAAAGTTATTGAAAATAATCATGAATTTTGGGAGAGATTCAACAATTAATTAGGAGTGATATTTGGCCAAAGGGAGGGAAAATGTCCATTTTGTGGGGAGAAAGAATTCCATATTTGGATAAGTTTATTACTCAATGTAATTTTATTTTTAAAAGATATGATATATTAGTTTTACTGCTACAAATATGTTATATTTACTTATTATTGTTTATTTATGAAATTTTTATTGCGTCCAAGTTATTAAGATATGAGAGCAAAATTAAATTAATTGGAAGAAGGAAAATGTCATGGTTTTCGGCCCAAACAAAGCCTTTACATCACCACCTTTCAGCAGCCCATCACTTCTCAATAGCCCAATAGCATATCCAACAGCCCAGGTTTTCCATAACCTAAATCTCCTAACCTCTCTCTATCTGCCTCAAAACAGATGCCCCACTCCCTTCTCCATTTTCAGAAAACTTCCAAGCTCTTATATCTTTCAAGCAGAGGAATGACGCACCATTTTTGTGCAAAAAGGTCTCTCTACTCTCTTTACGTATCTAAATATTCCAAAGGATATTCCTTTTCCTCTTTCTTGTTTGTGCTTGACAACTTTGAAATCAAATTGAAGCAGACCACAGCCTCGCCAATTCGGGTAATGACTGGAACAAATCACGCCTTTTTGACCAAATCACGTGATGTCTGCAAAGTCAGTCTAAGAAAGATCAATGATCAAATTTAAAAAGTTCATTTTGAATGAAAAATAAAAAATCAAGAATTCCGCCCAACTAACCCTAGAGAGCCCTAATTCATCTCCTATAAATACCAAACTTGGTGGAGATTTTCAGCAACTTTTGAACCCATAAACTTTTTAACATTCTTCTCCGAGCCTCCTTCTCTGATTTCTTACTCATTGGAGCCATGCTTTAAGGGCTCGTTTTGGTCAGCGCCTACTGGTCTCGTTTAACTAAACTAGAGGCGGCGGAGTAATCGTTTTGGAATTTGACGATCGTTCGAGGTTGCGGAGTAGAGGCCGGAGATAGTAGACCTTGACGCGACCCCAGTTCCTGCACCGCAAAAGGTCAGTTTTTCCTTCTAAGTTTTAGTCGCTCTTTACTTTTATTAAGTATAAAGTTGTTGTTTTCTTATCCAGTAGAATCATGTGTTAGTCCCCTTTTGTTCTGTTATAGAAGTTCATGGTTCACTTGCTTTCTTTATGTAAATTATGTATACAGAAATTTGTTTGGTTCACCCATGAAGCATATTCATAAGATGCCGCTATTTTCATACTAATTAGGAATTAGAAAGTTTCAGTTAAAACTTGATCTCAAAAACTAGTTTAATCCCTATAAATCTCTGTCCGATTCAATTTCATAAAAAAGGAGTAGATCTGAAGCCTTAAGAGCACCAAGTTCACTGTTCCAATAAAAGTTAGATCTAAACCTGCTATTCTGTATTTATTACTTTAAGTAACATATTAGAAATCATGATTTAGAGTTCATTTGTGTGTAGAAATTATGTCTTTAAGGAAATTAGTTTATGGGTGTAAGGTATTTGCATTATGACTGATAAAGTTCCATAAAAATGCTAGCTGATTTTTTTGTTAAAAGATACCATGTGTTTTATCATTTATAAATGTTGTAGAAGTTTTATCTTGTGTTTTTTTTTCTATTTGTTAGTTCTTATGAAGCAGAGATTCATGCCTTAAATTCTACCAGAATCATGATTATAGTAACCTATTGCCTTGCATAGATATGTGGAAAGGCAACATGTTCTCTAGCTGTTAGGATTCATTACAAGTTTGAACCTTTAGATGGAAGCCATGTTCATCCACTGTGTGTATATAAAAAATATCTCATTTTAGTTCGTGATTAAGAACTATTTCTAATAAAAAATCTTATTTTAACCATAGATTGATTTTGCGTACATTTTGAGAAATCATATTTTCAAGAAAAGGGTAGTATCAATTTGAAATATATGTGTACATGTATAAGATATTCATATAGACTATTAAAGTATCTGTTAGAATTCATGCTAATAGATAAACTGTAGCTTCATTTGGTATTATGTTATGATTACATGTGGTTTATGATCTTGTCAAATGACTGGTTTATGTGGTAGAATAGCATTAAGTCTTGTTAAGCATTTGTCTTATTTGAGGTAGTGTTAGTTTAAGTTAGAAAGAAAACCTTCAGCTGTTTTGTTGTATAACTTGTCTAATAGTTTATTGTTTACCAGAAGTATATTCTAAAACTCTAACCTGTGTCAGTTTAATCACCTGGATGTAAATATTTATATAGGTTTATGTAGGAACTTACTGTTGAAAACTTTTTCTCTAAGGCTTGATGCTAAAAGTTTTGTTTGGAATTCTATTGTCTGATATAAAAGAAGCCTACAAGCCTAAAAGGGTTTTGACAATATGAAAGCTAATTTGGGTTTACAAAAGATTTTCTGTGATTATTCTACTCATTTCGATCACTATAAGTTTAAGACTATTTTTACTAATCTTTATTCTCTATTTTTTATTTGCATGTACACTTCGGAGCGACCTGGAGTCTTAATGCAAGACTCTTCCTACCCGCATAGAGTTATCACAAACTATCTTCTTTAATCGCATTGGACAAGAAGAAAACAAGCAAATTTGCTTGGGGTCGCCTATGGCGGCTTTCATTATTCTTTACTTACTTTGTCTAAATTTCGTTAGTTTATGTGATTTGGTTTTGTGTGGAGTTTGTTTTATTATTGATGATTAATTTTATCGTGTAAATTTATAACCGTGATTTTGGCCAAATATCTTACTAATCAAAAAACTTCTAAGAATTCAATCACTTGGAATATTGGTACGTTCTCTTTTGAGACTTAAAAAAGGCAATGAAACTTTCTTATGCTTGACAACGTGGCTTTTGAATTGAGTTTTGCAGATTTCTTTTTTTTTCTTTAAATAAATAATTTCAACAACTTCTTGACCTTAATAAAGTTTGATGACAAACAAAAAATAATTTTCTTTTATTGGGATTAGTGACTGTTTTTTTTTTAAAAATGGTCGATTGCTTCCAAATTTATATATGCACATATTAATTAGCTTTTAACTTCTTCTTTTTTTCACTTAATAGTATTTTCAAGTTTAAACTACTCAATTATAAGTTATTGTCTTGTAATACCTTAAATGTTTTCGATAAGTTATTTAACACTTATTAACCTAAGTTCGGTTGGTTAACCGTTATTAACGGATTTTAAAAGGTCTTTTAAAACCTTCCTTTTAAAATATTTAAAACCCTTATTTAGAATCTTTAGGTTAAGACCATAAGACAGGGTTTGACTTAAGCTTTAAAAAATAGGTGTCCTAATTTACCTTAAAATTAATTAGGTAGCGACTCTTTTAAAAATTAATTCAACCTCAGAATCGCTAATATGTTATACTCTAATTTGACCTGGTTTAAATGGGGTATAACAACTTGGCGACTCTTTTGGGGATTTTAGGTTTTAAACCATAACAAACTTAGGTTAATAAAAATGACTTTTGTATTTTGTGAATGTTTTTGTTTGTTGCCTTATTTGAAAATCTGCTACTCCTTATAAAATGTGATTACTATCTTTTATAAACTGTCATTCCGTTTTCACTTCCTCCACTTTTGGAAAATTCACACTGAGCACACACCTAGCGGTCACGCAGTTTGCGGGCCTGCACTTTTTCAAAAAATATCTTCTAGGGGAAAGTTTGTGAGTAAGTCGATCAGCGTTGCAATCAACAGTCACAAATTTCCACTCTCAAGTTGTCCACCTGAGAAAAGACCAGTCTAGAAAACCCACTCTTAGCTGACCTAGGATAGAGCTAAACCAAATCCCTTCTTAGGGGCATGCATCACGCAACCTTAGGAGGCTTAATACCCTAGGTGTATTAAGTCCATTAGTTAGCCTTATCCAAATGTCCAAGCGGGTTTATAACCCCGAGTGACGCCTATTCATCCTTTATGTGCATTATGTGAAAGATAAACACACTGATTATGTGGACTATTTACTCATAAAAGGGGAAAACGGGTAGGATTAACCTTTTCTATAATGCAGGAAATCATGAATCAAGTTGTTTACCCAAAGATTGGCATGGTGTTGGACATCCCTCCCAAACTAAAGGCATGGTGGAGAAGCTTAGGAGAGAATGCACAGTCCAAAGTACGAAAGAAGCTGGGTAACCTACTGTTACTTATGGAAGTCACAGCATGTAGGGAAATAATTGAAGCATCAGTCACCTTTTGGGATGAAGAAAGAGTTGTATTCAGATTTAGGGAAAATGAGATGACACCATTGTTAGAAGAAATTGGAGGCTTCATAGAGAATGTGAGTTTGTTAGGGAAAGGCATACATTCTTGGCAAAGCGCTGGCATGATTATTCCAAAAAATCCCTCGATAAAAGAGTTCTTTGAAAAGTTTGGTTTTGAGAAAGAAATTGGTCTAGAGCATTTGAAAGAATCCAAGATACCCCTGGGCTATCTGTTCGACATCTTTGGATGTTCAGATGCTTTTCTACAACATCGAGAGGTGTTCTCCTCACATGCTTCTTGGAGTGAAAAGAGGGTATTCGCTTTTTCGGTTTGTTTCCTCGGGCTCCTAGTATTTCCTCGAAGAGCAAAATAGGAGATTCACACCCCACTTGTCATGGCTGCTGATGCATTATTTAATGGCATTAATGGAAAGCCATACACCATAGTGCCGATGGTTGTTGCAGATATATACGAGTTTTGGGCCTTATTTAAACATTTTGAGGGATGTTTGTTGCTGCAGTTGTGATTTATGGGGCATCTCCAAAAGATCAGTGGAAGCCAAGAGCTTTACAAGCAAAACAGTGCTAATCATATCACATCGTACACGATCCCAGTGGTTGCATTCAAGCTCCCAAATAGTGTTAAAGGATGGGGCAAGTTACTTAGCAAGCTGAACGACACCACGATTCAATGGATGTTTTCTTGGTATCCTTCTGAGAATTTTGTAATTCGTGGAAAAATGCTACCTTACTTGGTTCTCATAGGGATTCGAAGACTTCAACCATATGCTCCATTAGGAGTTATGAGACAAGCCGGAAGAATGCAAGTCATACTGCAAGTTGATAACATGGATCATTATCGAATTGACTATGATAATGATAAGATTCCTTTTGCGAAGAAAATTCTCAGGATGTGGAGAAACAAGAGAGATATGGTAAAGGATACAATTGCACCAGATAGGTACCAAGCTAGATATGACACTTTTTACTTAGAATGGTTACGTGCCAACCTTGAAGGTTCTGTCACAAGAGGGATTAATATGGGAGGCCTAATCAAAGATAAGGCAGTCGAAGCTGAAATCAAGTACCGTTGATTGAAAAGAAGGGTGTCCGAGTCTGAAGCAAAGCAGAAGGAGCAGCATGAGAAGGATAACAAAGAGATTGAAATGTTGAGACAACGAGAGGAAATACAGAAGCAACAAATAGAAATGTGGAAACAACAAGCTGTGGAAATGGAGCAAGGACTCAAAGATTTGGATGGAGACCTCGAGAAACAATTCATAGAATGCTATTGCCAAGGACTCGACGAAGGAGGAAAGTTAGCCATGGTTTACCTTGTGAAGAATCGCCAGAAAATCGACGAGGCAATAAGAGCAGCGAAGAGGCTAAGGGGCAATGAAGAACCATCCTCAGTCAATTAGATTAGAACTATGTTGTAATCTTTATTTCAATTAAGGCTATGCCATTGTAATCGTTTTAGACTAAGGCAATGTTGGTATTTCTCTTTTCATTTATGTACTGAGACTCAAATCATCAATGAAAGTTTATTTTGGGGTATCTAATTAAGGAGCAATGAAATGATATATAATGGTGTGTTTATCTCTCAAATTTTCGCTAGGCCTACCTCTGGCACAAAGAGGTCCTGTGCATACTAGGACACGCTTATCATTGCTTGACTTGTTTGTATTATTACGTGATTTGTTTGTTATGTGATGTACTTGCTTTTAAATTTAATAACCCCTTACTAACATTGTCTTTTATTTCCTTTTTAAAGGTTTTCTATTTTATTACTCCCTAAGGTTGATTTGTGTTGACTGCTAACTGGCTAAACACCCATACTTCACGAGATCCAAGGCACGAGCAGCTACCAACATGACTGGTTCAAACACATCTGATATGACAGGCTTGGGACTTGTCACCGTTCAACGAGACAAACCCGAGGCTTCAGAAGGAAGGGAGGTTACCCTTTGTGATGAGCATATTGCCTAGTTGTTGCAACAAGTGGCTAACCTGCAAGGTGAAATTGAACGGCTTCGGAACCTTACCAATCTTTCTATCAGCCTCAACACACCACTTCCCGAAGAAAGGACAAATGCACTTATCCCACCACCTTTCCCATCTTTTGACTCACCTATCCCAGAACACCTTCCACCAAACCCTCCACTTCACAACAACAAGTCAGCATCCACTAACGCACATGCTAACCCGTAACAAGCCAACCTATTGACTTTCAACACATCATATGTTTCCCAACCACCACTAGCCCAAAGCACCCCGCTCACCCAAAACCACCATATATGTAACCCAACACATACCGATGTCACACGTCGCTATTCTTAACATGCAACATGTGCCGTCGATATATGTAGCGGAAGCACAACCTTTTACTACCCCTATGCCTCACCAACTTCACTCCGAAGTGTATCAGTATCAAGAAGCAAAAAAAAGAAGTAAGGGATAAAGCCGACGAGTATATGGCGAAGGAGATCCATGAGTTAAAGAAAGCATTAAAAAGTCTGAAACCATTGGGAGTATGGAAGGTTTGGAGTATGAGGATATATGTGTTCATCCCGATGTCGATTTACCCGCAGGATATAAAGTACCAAAATTTGACATGTTTGATGGAAAAGGAAACCCACGAGCTCATTTGAGGTCGTATTGTGATAAGTTAGTTGGCATGGGAAAGGATGAAACTATCAGGATGAAACTTTTTATAAGGAGTCTTACAGGGGAAGCCCTTGATTGGTACACAAGTCAAGATCCACAGAAATGGCGTAGCTGGAGTGTCATGGCGCAAGAATTCATGGACAGATTCAAATTTAACACCGAGACCAACCCAGATAGATTCTATTTGATGATGTTGGAGAAGAAAACAACAGAATCCTTTAAAGAGTATGCCAGGAGATGGAGGGCAGAAGCAGCAAGAGTCCAACCCCTGATGGGAGAAGATGAGATGACAACTACTTTTATTCGATCTCAAACGGATGCAACATACTATAAGAGATTGATAAGCATGCTGGGGCAGAAATTCTCGGAAGTTGTTAGGATGGGAGACGTTATAGAGGAAGGTCTCAAATCTGGAAAGATTACAAACTTGGCAGCACTACAAGCAACGAGTAAGGAAATCCAGTCAGAAACTATTGGAGGAGCAAGTAAGAAGAAGGAGAAAGAAGTATCCGCTGCTATGACCATCCAGGACCGCAGGCCTAACCAAATGTTAACCTACCAAAACCCGTTACCTCAACCTTCATACTATAGCCCATACACCCAAACTCCTCAACCTTATTACCTGCCTTCGCCCATTCCCTATCCTGTTTATAATGCCCAACCAACCTATTATCCACCCCGAGCACCCACATACCCGAATCCATCACATTACCAACCTACATATCCATCTCAACCCTGCTACTAATCACAAAACTGCCCAAATGCACCTAGACCTCGCCCGAGCTTTGAAAAAAAACCAACCAAAACCTATACACCCCTAGCTAAACCTTTAGCAAAGTTGTATGAAAGGTTGAAAGCTGCAGGAGTACTCCAACCAGTCCCAGGAAGAGTTCCCGACCCCCTCCTAGGACGGTATGATGGGACCAAGCATTATGCGTATCACTCTGGTATGACTGGACATGACACACAAAATTGCCTTACTCTCAAAGATAAGATTGAAGAGTTGATCAAAGCAGGAACCATTCAGCTTAAGGGAGCTCCCCCGAATGTGAACAACAACCGTCTTCCAAATCACGATAATACCAGTATTAACATGATATCTACTGATGAAGATTGAAATTTGGAAGGAACAATTGTAACAATTGAAGACGAGAAAAAGGTTGTGTCATCTGCCTTCATTTCTCATGTCAGCACAGTGCAAGTGCGAGCACCAATTGAGGTGGAAATACTCCCTCCGAAAGCCAGGATCATGGCTCTAGTTGCACAGACACCCTCATTTAAAACCAAAGTAGTTCCTTGGGACTATCCGTTTGATGTAAGGAACAAAGGAAAGGCAAAATTAGTTGTAGAAGTTGTTGCTGGAGGTATGATGAGATCCAGTTGGTGTTATGTTCCTGAAGAAGCATCACGAGGAACTTCAAGTAAGGACAACAACCAGAAGAAGTCTGTGACAGAAGCTGAAGCAGAAGAGTTTTGGAGAAAAATGCAATGTAGCGGATACACTATTGTAGACCAACTGAAGAAGACGCCGGCTCAAATTTCCCTCATGTCATTATTGATGAGTTCCGACAGTCACAGGAATGCTTTGGTAAAAGTACTCAATGAAGCATATGTGCTAGCCGACACAACTAGTGACCATTTGGAATCTATGGTAGCCCAAATTCTAGAAGCCCACAAGATTTCTTTTCATGAGGATGAATTGCCACATGAAGGTCTAATTCATAACAAAGCTTTGCATCTCACTGTCAAGTGCAAGGACAAGTTTGTTTCTAGGGTTTTGATCGATAATGGTTCTGCCCTCAATATATGTCCTTTCACTACCCTCAAAGCTTTGGGAATTGACATTGGAAAAGTTCATGAAAGTCATGTGAATGTTAAAGCTTTTGACGGAGCGCAAAGGAGCGCTATTGGTGAAATTGACTTAGCATTACAAATTGGGCCTGTGGAGTTTATCATTGAATTTCAAGTGTTAGACATATCTGCTACTTATAATTTGTTGTTGGGAAGGCCGTGGATTCACATGGCTGGTGCAGTCCCTTCCACTTTGCACCAGAGCGTGAAGTTTGTGTGGAGTCACCAGGAAGTTGTGATTCATGGAGAAGCAAGCAATCCCATTTGCCCCGGGAATTCAATCCCTGTCATTGAAAGTGTGGAGAGGCTGGATGGAGCTACTTTCCACATTGAAGAAATTGTGACTGCTACTCGAGGTAAAGAGATAAAGTTGCCAAGTGTGTTCGGATGGTGGCATCAGAAATGTTGAAGAATGGTTTCGAGCTTGGTCGAGGACTTGGAGCAAGGTTGCATGGAATAGTGGAGCCAATTCAGTTACCGGGGCAGAACAATACCTTTGGCCTAGGCTACGAACCCACTCCAAAAGAAGTCTCGGAGGCTCGCTCAAGAAGAAAAGTGACATTATCTTGCCACAGCCTATCCCGCTGCTAAGCCAGCCATTCCTCAAGACAGTTACTATTCATGAGCTAGATGAAGATGCTGAAGACGACCTCGTTAAAGGAATCATGAGCCTATTCATTGCCGACTGCAATGTGATTTTGAAGGATTGCACTGAGGCGCCAACTATTTGGGATGCCGCACCTGGAGATGTTTTGAACAATTAGACTTGTACCCCGTCCCCGGTTTGCCGGGAGTCTTTGTAGATGGATTGTATTAGTACTTTAAAAAAACACGATTTAAAATTGAGGCCTGAATCGTGTCTATGATTTTTATGTTGTTTGCCTTGATCTTTTGGAAGCTTAAATGCAAAATCTGAATATACTTTTTCGCTTTACATTTAAATTTTTGTCTTTATTAATTTTCTTTCTTTTTTATTTATTTTTCAGCAAACAAATTGATAAAAATGCCGACATCGTGAATGTGACATGCAATGAAACAAGTGAACAAAATAACAAGAAAGATCTTGAAGAATATGAAGAAGATGTGCCGCCTGCAGAATTAACTAAAGAACTTGAGCAGTTTGAGAACAAGTCAAAACCAAATTTGGATGAAACTGAGCTTATAAATTTGGGAGATTCATAGTCTATAAAAGAAACAAGAATTAGTGTCCATTTGACACCATCAGAAAAGGAGAAATATGTGGATCTTCTGAGACAATACATCGATGTGTTCGCTTGGTCGTATGATGACATGCTTGGTTTAAGCACTAATATTGTTTCCCATAAGTTTCCAACGGATCCATCTTGTCCCCCGGTAAAGCAAAAAACAAGAAAAATCAATACGGACTTAAGTTTGAAGATCAAAGAAGAAGTCTCCAAGCAATTTAAAGCAAATGTCATCCGAGTCACGAAGTACCCCACCTGGTTGGCCAATATAGTACCACTACCAAAGAAGGATGGGAAGAACAGAATATATGTGTATTATCGGGATCTCAACAAGGCTAGTCTAAAGGATGATTTCCCACTTCCGAATATTCACATACTCATTGATAATTGTGCAAAGCATGAGTTGCAGTCATTCGTTGATTGCTTTACCGGTTACCACAAGATTTTGATGAATGAAGATGATGCTGAGAAGAAATCGTTTATCATACCTTGGGGGTGTATTGTTATCGGGTAATGCCTTTTGGACTCAAGAATGCAGGTACTACATACATGAGAGCTATGACAACTATTTTTCATGACATGATCCATAAAGAGATTGAGGTCTATGTGGACGATGTCATCATCAAGTCACGGAAGAGTTCAGATCACTTGGTAGACCTGAAGAATTTCTTTTATAGGTTGCGGCGATACAATTTGAAGCTGAATCCCACAAAGTGTGCATTCGGAGTTCTAGCTGGAAAATTATTAGGTTTCATTGTCAGTAGAAGAGGCATAGAGTTGGATCCTTCAAAGATAAAGGCTATCCAAGACCTGCCACCTCCAAAGAATCGGAAGGACGTGATGAGCTTCCTTGGTCGCCTTAACTACATCAGTTGTTTCATAGCCCAATCAATAGTGATTTGTGAGCCGATATTCAAGATGCTGAGGAAAGATGCCACTACCAAATGGACAGAGGAATGTCAACAAGCTTTTGATAGGATCAAGGAATATTTATCTAACCCACCAGTGTTGGTACCTCTAGAACCTGGAAGGCCGTTGTTGTTATACATATCCGTATCAGATAATGCATTTGGATGTGTTTTGGGGCAACATGATGAAACTGGGAGGAAGGAACAAGCCATATACTACTTGAGCAAGAAGTCCACAGCATATGAAGCAAGATATACTTTGTTGGAACGCACCTGTTGTGCCTTAACTTGGGTTGCACAAAAGTTGAGGCATTACTTGTCAGCATACACCACTTATCTCACTTCCAGGATAGACCCACTCAAGTACATCTTTCAGAAACCTATGCATGCAGGAAAGCTGGCGAAGTGGCATATTTTTCTAAGTGAGTTTGACATCGTGTATGTTACTCAGAAGGCCATCAAAGGACAAGCTTTAGCTGACCACCTTGCAGAAAATCCTGTGGATGAAGAATACAAGCCACTTAGGACATACTTCCCAGATGAAGAAGTATTGTTTGCTGGAGAAGACATTTTAGAGGCATATTCTGGTTGGAGAATGTTCTTTGACGGAGCCGCAAACTTCAAAGGAGTTGGAGTTGGAGCAGTATTAGTTTCAAAATCTGGACAACATTATCCAATCTCAGCGAAACTTCAGTTTCCATGCACCAACAACATGGCAGAATATGAGGCTTATAAACTTGGGCTTAGAATGGTCGTTGATATAAACGTCCAAGAGTTGTTGGTTATAGGTAATTCAGACTTGCTAATTCATCAAGTACAAGGCGAATGGAATACAAAGAACATAAAAATCCTACCGTACTTACATTGTGTAAAGGAGTTGTGTAAGAAGTTTATCAAAGTGGACTTCAAGCATGTTCCAAGAGTTCAAAATGAGTTTGCAGATGCTTTGGCAACTTTGTCTTACATGATTCAACATCCAGATAAAAATTACATAGACCCCATCAAGGTGAATGTGCAAGATCAGCCAGCTTATTGTTTCCATATGGATGACAAGCCAGACGGAGAACCATGGTATTATGACATTAAGAGGTATCTCAAGACAAGGGATTACCCTGAAGGAGCAACCAGTACCCAGAAGAGAACGCTTAAGAGATTGGCAAATCACTTTTTCCTAAACGTCAAAATCCTATATAGGAGGACCCCAGATTTAGGACTGTTGAGGTATGTAGATGCCAGGTAAGCAACCAAGCCGATTGAAGAAATACACGCAGGAACATGTGGGCCTCACATGAATGGGTTTACTTTGGCAAAGAAAATTCTACGAGCAGGTTACTTTTGGATGACCATGAAAACAAATTGGATTTGTTTTGTACAGAAATGTCATTAGTGTCAGATCCACGGTGATTTGATTCGAGTCCCACCAAATGAACTCAATGTGACGAGTTCTCCTTGGCCGTTTGCAGCTTGGGGCATGAATGTCATTGCCTTATTGAGTCGGCCGCCTCGAAAGGGAATAGATTTATCTTGGTAGCTATTGATTACTTTACAAAGTGGGTAGAAGCCTCTTCTTACAAGTCAGTTACAAAGAAGGTGGTAGCAGATACCGTTTGCCGATTTGGAATTCGTGAGTCAATCATTACAGATAATGGAGCCAATCTCAATAGTGACCTGATGCAAGAAATATGTGATAAGTTCAAGATTACTCACCAAAATCCCACTCCCTATCGACCTCATATGAATGGAGCCGTTGAAACAGCCAATAAGAACATACAGAAGATATTACGGAAGATGATTGATAACTACAGGCACTGGCATGAGAAGCTACCATTTGCTCTCCTTGAATATCGCACTACAGTCAGAACATCAACTGAGGCAACACCTTATCTTCTGGTCTATGGAACTGAAGCCATATTACCAGCGGAAGTTGAAATACCATCTTTGATGGTCATCCAGGAAGCCGAGCTGAGCAATGCAGAATGGGTAAAGAATCAGTACGAACAACTAATGCTTATTGACGAGAAGAGAATGAATGTTGTTGGCCATGGTCAACTCTATCAAAACAGGATGGTCAGAGCCTTCAACAAGAAAGTGAAACCACGTCAGTTAAATTGGGGCAACTGGTTTTGAAGCACATATTCCCGCACCAAAATGAAGCTAAAGGAAAATTTGCACCAAATTGGCAAGGTCCATACATGGTGCATTGAGTATTGACTGGAGGAGCACTGATTCTAGCAGAAATGGATGGAGAAGTGTGGCCCAAGCCCATCAACACAGATGTAGTCAAGAGATACTACATCTAGAGGCATATCTAGCAACCTCTTTCTTTTCTATGTAATGCTTCTTAATGTAAATGAACTACGTTTGACCTGATTCCCGTTTAAGAGGGGATACGTAGGCAGTCCTGTGGGTTCGATCTCATCATAATAAAAATTCAATATTTTCCTCAAATTGGAAATTAGGGCAGCTTTTGAAGGCGTCGTCATGAGGAGGCATCAGTCATCGACAAAGGATGGTCAAGCAAGACGAATGATGGGATTCCAGATGAGGACGTTCACTTTGTTTCACAAGCATGTCACAATGCAGAATTCGGCAACAACTTTATTTTGTATATATTTATGCATATTTTATTTATTAAAATTGGATTTTTCATCAAAATTTCTTAACTATTCATTCGCCAAGATTCAGTGTTTGGTGGAGGTTACAAGTCCAAACAAAGTGGGAAGCGCAAGATTATCAAAGGCCAGAGCATCACAGTCAACACGAATCAACCTTCCCCCCCTCCCCCAAAAAAAAACTCACAATTTTTTCTTTGTGTGCAGATTTTCAGGATAGAGGAAGCAGAAGAATCAATAACGAATATAAATACCAAGACCCTTTGTCAAGCGGTTTGAATTTTTTATAGTATTTTATAGAAAATTACACCTTTTGGATGATGATGATCTTTAAAATCCAAGTTTGAGATTTTTCTAATGATGATTTTGGAATCTTACAATATTTTTTTAATATATTGATTGTCATTACTTTTCAGCTACTAATTATTTGTAAGTGCAAACTACATAGCACATTGACTTTTAAATGCACTGCACTATTGCTTTCAAATACTTTGCACCATTGCCTGCAAAATGCATAATATAAATGCTTTCAAATATACTGCACTTTTGCTTTCAAAGGCACTGCAAATGCACTGCAAAAATGCTTTAAAAAGTACCATATCATTGCTTGCAAATGCACGATGCAAATGCTTTCAACTACACTGCACCATTACTTTTAAATGCACCACACAATTGCCTTGCAAATGCACCATAAATATTTTTATTACCTTAAACCATTTGGCTTGGAAAGCCTCATCAGTCATTTGGCTTAAACGCCTCAATTACTGCATCATTTGGCTTAAATGCCTCATTTTCATCAATCATTGGCTTAAATTCCTCATTTTTATCAATCATACATAAGTCATCGCTGAAAGGCACCATTTACATGAATCATTAGCTCAAAGCCTCATTTCATTAGTCATGATCAAAGAATTATTTTTAACATACCTGGCTTATTCTATGATAAATTAACGACTTAGAGGTCTCATTTTAATGAAATTATTGTTATGACTTATCTCATTTTTATATCTCATTTACTAACAATTTTACCTAGCCTGTTGAGTTTAGCAGGAAATTTAGCACAAAGTGGAACTTTATCTAAGTAGCAAACCGGGGCAGTTTGCTGGGGAGGAAACCAGACTCGCCAACAAAAGTCAAAGGTCTATTTTCGGATTCCGTTCGGCTTGACTACCAAAATCTTAGCCAAAATCTTTATTTCGACACATTTTCTTTCAATCATGATTCCCAGTATCTGACACCTTGTGTCTCCATAATTCGACACTGGGGCAGCATTTTAGGATCCACATCAATCATTAAGTCCTACTCCATAGCACCATCAGTCTGGAATTACATATGGCTTGATTCTCGTGAAACCTGAGATATGTAGGCAACTCGAAACCAGAGTTCGACTGCAATTATTTTTTTTATCTCCCTTTTGCCCCATTTCAACCTTAATGGTCAGGACAAAATTGGCTACTACATTCAATTTCTTTGCACGAAAACTCTTTCATCATTTTCGGTCAAAGAGGGGCAGCTGTTGATACCCAATTTTGTCCTACCTTTCTTCTGATTAATTTTTTAGTGCTCCCTAGTCATTAATAATTTCATGCCCTATCTTAATTATTTGTTACCTTTTATTATTATTATTGTTATAGTTATTGAAGTGATTAGTCTACTACTACTACTACTACTATTATTATTATTATTANTACTATATTATACACATATTTTTTGGAGTTTCGTAGAGTTTTTGAAAGACATGTTTATTTTTTTTATGGTTGATATTTTAAAATGATCATAGTTAAAAGATTTTGAAGTATCAAGAATAATTTATAGTGGATATAAATTGCAATCAAATCGTGCCAATCAGTTTGTGTAATTAGCACGATGGACTATTTTCAAGTTGTTTGCAAATATGTGATTTTAATTTTAATCCATACACCTCTACCACTTCTCTAAGTCTTCGAATTCCCTTAAAGGAAGAAATTTATTGAAAATAATTATGAATTTTGGGAGAGATTCAACAATTAATTAGGAGTGATATTTGGCCAAAGGGAGAGAAAAGTTCCATTTTGTGGGGAGAAAGAATTTCATATTTGGATAAGTTTATTACTCAACGTAATTTTATTTTAAAAGATATGATATAATAGTTTTACTGCTACAAATATATTATATTTACTTATTATTGTTTATTTATGAAATTTTTATTGAGTGCAAGTTATAAAGATATGAGAGCAAAATTAAATTAATTGGAAGAAGGAAAATGTCATGGTTTTCGGCCCAAACAAAGCCTTTACATCACCACCTTTCAGCAGCCCATCACTTCTCAATAGCCCAATAACAGATCCAACAGCTCAGGTTTTCCATAACTTAAATCTCCTAACCTCTCTCTATCTCCCTCAAAACAGACGCCCCACTCCCTTCTCCATTTTCAGAAAACTTCCAAGCTCTTATATCTTTCAAGCAGAGGAATGACGCACCATTTTTGTGCAAAAAGATCTCTCTAATCTCATTATGTATCTAAATATTTCAAAGTATATTCCTTTTCCTCTTTCTTGTTTGTGCTTGACAACTTCGAAATCAAATTGAAGCAGACCACAGCTTCGCCAATTTGGGTAAGGACTGGAACAAATCACGCCTTTTTGACCAAATCATGTGATGTATGCAAAGTCCGTCCAAGAAAGATCAACGATCAAATTTAAAAAGTTCATTTTGAATGAAAAATCAAAAATCAAGAATGCCGCCCAACTAACCCTAGAGAGCCCTAATTCATCTCCTATAAATACCAAACTTGGTGGAGATTTTCAGCAATTTTTGAACCCACAACCTTTTTAACATTCTTCTCCGAGCCTCCTTCTCTGATTTCTTACTCATTGGAGCCACGCTTTAAGGGCTCGTTTTGGTCAGCCCCTACTGGTCTCGTTTAACCGAACTAGAGGTGGCGGCATAATCGTTTTGGAATTTGACGATCGTTCGAGGTTGCGGAGTAGAGGCCGGAGATAGTAGACATTGACGCGACCCCAGTTCCTGCACCGCAAAAGGTCAGTTTTCCTTCTAAGTTTTAGTCGCTCTTTATTTTTATTAAGTATAAATTTGTTGTTTTCTTATCCAGTAGAATCATGTGTTAGTCCCCTTTTGTTCTGTTATAGAAGTTCATGGTTCAGTTGTTTTCTTTGTGTAAATCATATATATAGAAATTTGTTTGGTTCACCCATGAAGCATACTCATAAGATGCCGATATTTTCATATTAATTAGAAATTAAAAGGTTTCATATAAAACTTGATCTCAAAAACTAGTTTAATCCGTATCAATCTCTGTCCTATTCAATTTCATTAAAAGAGGAGTAGATCCAAAGCCTTAAGAGCACTGGGTTCACTGTTCCAATAAAAGTTAGATCTAAACCTGCTATTCTGTATTTATTACTTTAAGTAATATATTAGAAATCATGATTTAGAGTTCATTTGTATGTAGAAATTATGTCTTTAAGGAAATTAGTTTTTGGGCATGAGGCATTTCCATTATGGCCGATAAAGTTCCATAAAAATGCTAGCTGTTTTTTTTGTTAAAAGTTACCATGTGTTTTATCATTTATAATTGTTGTAGAAATTTTATCTTGTGTTTTTTTTTTCTATTTTTTATTTCTTATGCAGCAGAGATTCATGCCTTAAATTCTGCCAGAATTATGACTATAGTAACCTATTGCCTTGCATAGATATGTGGAAAGGCAACATGTTCTCTAGCTGTTAGGATTCATTACAAGTTTGAACCTTTAGATGGAAGCCATGTTCGTCCACTGTGTGTATATAAAAAATATCTCATTTTAGTTTGTGATTAAGAACTATTTCTAATAATAAAAACCTTATTTTAACCATAGATTGATTTTGCGTACATTTTGAGAAATCATATTTTCAAGAAAAGGGTAGTATCAATTTGAAATATATGTGTACACGTATAAGATATTCATATAGACTATTAAAGTCTCTGTTAGAATCCATGCTAATAGACAAACTGTAGCTTCATTTGATATTATGTTATGACTACATTTGGTTTATGATCTTGTCAAATGACTGGTTTATGTGGTAGAATAGCATTAAGTCTTGTTAAGCATTTGTCTTATTTGAGGTAGTGTTAGTTTAAGTTAGAAAGAAAACCTTCAGCTATTTTGTTGTATAACTTGTCTAATAGTTTATTGTTTACCAGAAGTATATTCTAAATCTCTAATCTGTGTCAGTTTAATCACCTGGATGTAAATATTTATAGGTTTATGTAGGAACTTACTGTTGAAAACCTTTTCTCTAAGGTTTGATGCTAAAAGTTTTATATGGAATTCTAATGTCTGATATAAAAGAAGCTTGCAAGCCTAAAAAGGTTTTGATAATATGAAAGCTTTGGGTTTTACAAAAGATTTTCTGTGATTATTCTACTCATTTCGAACACTATAAGTTTAAGACTATTTTTACTATTCTTTATTCTCTATTTTTTATTTGCATGTACACTTCAGAGCAACCTGGAGTCTTAATGCAAGACTCTTCCTACCCGCATAGAGTTATCACAAACTATCTTTTTTAATCGCATTGGACAAGAAGAAAACAAGCAAATTTGCTTGGGGTGGTCTATGGCGGTTTTCATTATTCTTTACTTTCTTTGTCTAAATTTCATTAGTTTATGTGATTTAGTTTTGTGTGGAGTTTATTTTATTATTGATAATTAATTTTATCATGTAAATTTACAACTGTGATTTTGGCCAAATATCTTACTAATCAAAAAACTTCTAAGAATTCTATCACTTGGAATATTGGTACGTTCTCTTTTGAGACTTAAAAAAGGCAATGAAACTTTCTTATGCTTGACAACGTGGCTTTTGAATTGAGTTTTGCAAATTTCTTTTTTTCTTTAAATAAATAATTTCAACAACTTCTTGACCTTAGTAAAGTTTGATGACAAACAAAAAATAATTTTCTTTTATTGCGGTTAGTGACAGTTTTTTTTAAAAAAAATGGTCGTTTGCTTCAAACAAATTTATATATGCACATATTAATTAGATTTTAACTTCTTCTTTTTTCACTTAATAATATTTTCAAGTTTAAACTACTCAATTATAAGTTATTGTCTTGTAATACCTTAAATGTTTTCGATAAGTTATTTGACACTTATTAACCTAAGTTCGGCCGGCTAACCGTTATTAATGGATTTTAAAAGGTGTTTTAAAACCTTCCTTTTAAAATATTTAAAACCCTTATTTAGAATCTTTAGGTTAAGAACATAAGACAGAGTTTGACTTAAGCTTTAAAAAATAGGTGTCCTAATTCACCTTAGAATTAATTAGGTGGCGACTCTTTTAAAAATTAATTCAAACTCAAAATCGCTAATATGTTATACTCTAATTTGACCTGGTTTAAGTGGGGTATAACAACATCATCATCAATATTGTCATCTACCTCCTCTCTCGGTGGAAGATCTCCAAGAGGTGCGTTGTTTGCTGCCATTTTGTACCTAAATTAGCGGCACACACAAATTAGTAACACAGAAGGAAAGAAAAACAATACACAAAACTATTTAGATAGATAGCCAAAACCGTTAGCTCCCCAGCAACGACGCCAAAAGTGATCGATGTCAACCCTACACCACTATAAAGTGGCGAGAGCAGTCGAAGCAGCTTTTATCCGAGATGGTCGAGATCGAATCCACAGGGAGCTAGAATTAGGAATTGGATTCCTATCTAAACTAGAAATGCGTAGTGCTCTTAATTACACTTCCAATCATAATTGTTATTTGTTACTTCTACTTTTATACTAAAAAGTTACTAAATTAAACTAAGAATGATTGCTTGTAAGGTATTCTAAATAGTTAAAGAGGCACTAGGGAAGTGACTTTCTCCTAGGTGAATACTTGACGGGATCTAAAGCCTAAGGCAAAGAAGTTATGTTGGGGATTGCGATATAGCCAATGCACAGAATTACTCACTCTATACCTCTCGGTAAGTTGAGTGACTTTGCCCTAATTGACTTTCTCAAGACTAATTGGATGTCAAAATTGTGCAAGCAATATAGGCTCAAGTCGGGTATTACTATCTCTAGGTTTAACCCTTTAATTAGGGCTATCAATCTCTTGATTACACCCCAATTCCTTGTTGGATTGATTTTCCTAGACTCAAGCTTTCTTTCTCAGGAAGAGCCCAAGTCAAATAGGCACAAATTAGTGTTTGCAACCACTAATTTAACATGGAAAATACAAATCAGTCCAAATATCAACTACCCATAAACATCTAAGCCTTAAATCAAAAGACACATCAAAAATCCACACTAGGGTTGAGCAACAACCCTAGCTAACGGGTCTAACTACTCATAATAATGGAAGAAATCAGGAAAATAGATGAAGAATAACCCATAAGATTTAATTATAAACTAAGATAATGAAGATTCAGTGTTAATCTAGCTACAAATTACTCAAAATGGAATTAAAACACCGTTCACGTGCCCTGGAGTCTAACAGATTACAAAAGAAACCCTAAAAATGTGAAAAGAAAGTATTTATACTAGGCCGAATTTTCTGGAAATAATTACCCCTAACGGAGGTACTGTGGTCCGCATAAAATGTACCGTGGACCGCGATGAGGTTTCTTGGCTTGACTATTCACTCTCTGAATCTGGCCACCGCGGGTCGCATAAAATGCATCGCGGCCACGGTGACTTCAATTACGGTCCGAACAAAAAAAGACCGCGGACCGCATTGGCTTCCATCTTCAAACTCCAAGCTCTTTGAAACCCCCTCTCCGTGGACCGCATAAAATGGATTGCAGCCGCGGAGAGGCTACTGCGATCGGAAGAAATCCTCCGCGGACCGCACAACTTGAACACCCAAAAGTGCACCTCTCTGAACTTTTCCACCGCAGACCGCACTAAATAGTCTGCGGTCGCGGTGGGTCCTTTGCGGCTACAGTTGATTTTATGCTGCAGCAGTGCATTGACTTGTTCTTGGTACTTGTGCATGTTTCACTCCTTTTTGAGCTGGTTTTGACTACTTGTCACTTTTTTGACCAAACCTTGTAAACAAGTACAACATGTAAGCCTTTGGGACTATTCTGTATACATTTTTTAATCAAAACTCAAGTAAAAAGGAGTGTAAAATAACTATTCTGTAAAGTGAACCCATTAACCACTAGCTTAATAATCAACAACCTATCATTCACCCTCTTGACATCTACCACTAACTCTCTGAGGTCCCTATCAACTAAAATGCCTACTCCGTTCTTGCCTCCNGCCAGCTTCTCTTTCAATGATGTCTGTAGCAGTAATAAGAACAATCCCTAAAGTCACTAGTTCAGCAGGAGCATTACAACAGATGTCTAAAGATAGTGACTCCTGCTAGGAAATTGAAGAAGTGCATGAAGTGCGTCCCCCCCCCCCCAATCTAGTCTCCTGGACCTTCCTCTTCTGGAGAATCTTCCCCAACTCTATCGACTTCCCCGTTAGTGTCCTTATGTTCCAGGATCCAATTCTCAACCTTATGAAATCCTTACCCCTCTTACCACCCTTGCTCCTCGCCCACTAATCCACCTGAGGACATGACCTTACACTACCATCACTTAGAATATCCACTACACCAGCAAAAATACAGGGATATGGACTAAGCCTAGACTACTACAAATATAGATGAGAAGACGAGGCGTAAAATAAGTAAAGCCTAAATACAAGCTGAAATGTAATGTAACTAGGTCACGCAAAAGGCATGAATGAAACAGGAGTGATACACCTAATGGCAGATAAATGCAAGCAAGCTGAAGGAAATACAATAATCAAGGATAAAAGGCAGCTAACAGAATAATAACAAATAGCAAATTCTAAGCAAGAACGATAGAACCTGGAGTCCCAGCGGGTGTCGAGAGAGGTGATGTCCACAACAGCTATGTTCTGGAAGTTCCCGCACATGTCGTCCAAGGGCTGCTGGGAAATCATCGCCATGCACAAACCCCTACTGTCGTTGCTAGGTATAGGAATCCGATCAACAGCACTAAAGAGGAGGTGCAGAAAGTAAGGTGCCGCTAAAGCTGCTGTCGCCACTAGTCTAGGGCAGTGACCGGAAGAAAGAAAGAAGAAGAGGAAAAGGGCAAGATAAATAGAACAGGGGAAGAAAGAAGAAGAAGAAACGAGAAAGTTAAAGAGAACATAGGGGAAGGAAGAAGAAGCAGAAACGGGAAAGCTAGAAAGCTAGAAAGGTAGAGGTGGAGGCAGATTGGGAGAAATCATAGGAGAGATGAGGAGAGGGAAAAAGAAGCAGAAGAAAAGAGCAAGGGAAGAAAGAGGTGAAGAGAGAGGAAAAGAAGATAGGGGGTGGGGGGCTTACCTGGGTCCGGTGGTCGTCAGTTGTACGCTGGCGGCTGACGGTGGTAGGCAGTGGTGGGGAGTTGGGTCAAAGAGACGTTAGAAGTTAGAAGATAGAGAGGGACGTTAGGGAGAGAGCGAGATAGAAAGAAGAATTACCATAGCCACCAAGTAATAGTCCCTAAAATCTCTCTAAAATATAGACATTCACCTTAAATATAATTCTATTCATAACATTCCCCCTTGAATGTCTATTCAACAAATAATGTGCCTCGTTAAAACATTAACTAAAATAAAAATCAATGGGACAAAAATTTTAGAGAAGGAAAAAGAGTACACATGTTTAGAATTACGCCTTTTAGTTGCCTCGTTAAAACCTTTGCAAGAAAAAACTAGTGGGACAAAACCTTGTAAGGAAAAAAGAGTACAACCCGTATTAACTCCCCCTATGAGAGCACCCATTCACATCCTTGAGCCTCCGGATCCCAATCTTGTACACTAGCTTCTTGAAGGTTGACATCGATAGAGATTTGGTAAACAAATCAGCGATATTATCACTTGAATGAATATGCTGCACCTTGAAATCATCATTCTTGTATATATGTAATATCTTCAATATAATATTGTGGAATAGCTTTTTCAATATCTCCATATAGGTATTCTCGCTATCACATCATCATTCTTATAGTTATATCAAGATACATATGTGCACAAATAACACTTAGGATATGGTACTTTAAGACCAAGAATTGTATATGCTTTAAGCGATTTAAATCCTTCAAGGATGTCATATAAGTCGAGTCATATAAGTCATATAATAGACCTTAATTAGATTCATATCAAGTTTTCATATCATGCTAGACAAATAAGATATCGAAAACTGATTGCACATATCATTGGCTTTATACTTTAAAGTGTTTGAACTGCAGGCCCAAAACTACATGTCTTTCACATGAAACCAATTCTATTTGAGTTGTTTCTCTTCCATTTGGCTAATATTTTTGTGTCTGTATTCGACAGACTTAAGATCTTCATCTATACTTAGCGCTATCATAAATGTAATCGACGAATATTTTATATCGGTTCTAATATTTTTTCATAAAGACATAACATAAATGAGATCTTTTCATTCATTTCAGGTACTTGAACCTCTATTGAAAATTTATGAAGTGTTATGTCATGTGATCTTTTAGATCACTTACCTACTTATTATGATCATTTTGATCATTTGTTCATCTTCTTTATCAAGAATTTTATTTGAAATCGATTTGTCAATACGCTATAAGCGAACCATAGACTTTGTACTTCTAGGACTTATTCTAATAGGAGGATTTATAGTGTGATGATCCAAAAGGTCATCACTTATTTTTTTAAAATGAATTCTACATTCTGAGGCCTTAAAGACCTCTTTTAG